GCCCCTAGCATGGAATCCCTTACAAGGGCCAAGCTCCCGGTCGGGTAACTCCGTGGATAGCCTCGGGCCTTCCCTACATGCAAGTGGGTCTCCGACATGCCTTCCGGCAAGCCTCTCCCGGATGCTCCCCTCCGTCTTCACTATCAAGCTTTCGGTTGAAACGCCGCAGGCCTTGTTACCTCCGGTACACGGTGGCGGCCACACCACAAACACGGTTGGTGTGATCTCACAAAACTTCAAGCCCCTCCGATGTACAACACTTGTGCTCGCAAGCACGGGGTGGCAAGAGGTATGCAAACCTCACTAAACACTAGGCGTAAACCTAGAGCAAGCGCATAAGCGGTGGTCTAATCAACCTAAGCACTTCGCAAAGCACTTATGCTAATCACTTAATAAAACACTAAGCACTATGCATGTGGAGATCACTAAAATAGTGTATCAACACCCTTGGTATGTTTCCTTAGCTCCAAATTGCTCAAATGGCCGGTTAGGGGTTGTATTTATAAGCCCCACTGAGAAAGTAGCCGTTGGGGTCGAACTCCCGCAATTCTGCTACTGACCAGACGCTGAATCGTCCTGACCGGACGCGTCCGGTCATCCTGACTATTGAGCCGGCAATATACTGATCGGACGCTGGCCAGCGTCCGATCGCCTGCCACCGGGCGCGTTCGGTCGCAGATTTGCCGCTCTGGAACCTTACTGTATTCGATCGGTCGTTGCTGTCCTGCGTCCGGTCGGTTGCCGCCAGCGTCTGGTCTGGGATCCAGTCGCCTGTCTGCCGAGCCACTTGCCCAGCGTCCGATCACAGCGTCCGGTTGCTTGTCCAGCGCCCTGTCCTGCATCCGGTCACCACAGTGAGCTCATTTCTTCGCGATCTTGCGTGCGGCTTGGTTCCAATCTTCGTGCTTGGACTTTACTTGATATCTTGGGTCTTCTCTTGTGCTACTAAGGTCTTTCTTAAAGTGTTGATCATCGGATCACCACGTCGCCTTCGTCCAAGTCACGTCTTGCATCCTATTGAACTACAAAATAAACACTTGCAAATTTATTAGTCCAATTTGGTTGTGTTGGTCATCAAACACCAAAATCCAAAGTAAATGGACCAAGGGTCCATTTTCCTTACATCAGTGTCCAGCAGCAAATTTTGCCTATTTTTCATTGGGAGTTAGATTCATTTCTATGTAGGTTTTGGTGGTCAATTTAAAATTTATAGAAGATTTTGGTTATTGTTTCGTATGTGACGGGTGATTTTATAATGAGTGTACATTTTTTTCACCCTATGTTTAACATGGGAATTCTAGGGACTAGAGAGACAATGCAGATTTTTTTTTCTCAGTCAACTAGTGTACTTGGTATTTGCTGATAGTCTAAAACCATTTTTATGAAAATGTCTTGCCATGATCCACTTAGTACCTAATTCTCAGTCAACTATTGTACTTGGTCTTTGTCAGTCCTCATCATAACAAGTATCTTACACCCCCACCATCAAGTAATTGAAATGATTCTCTCACATTTCATACAGATTATGCTCGAGAACTATTCTTGTATATGCACAAGCAACAACAACACAATAGTACAATAGGCGCTAGCAATATCAAAGATTTATAGATCCATAGCAATGGTAGAGACACAGAAATGCTAACCAACAACATAAAGGATAACTTAAACTTCTCCACTTTGCCAGAGCACAATAGTAAGAGACACACAGAAAGCAATTCTAAAATAGGACCCTTACTAGCAGTAGACATAGACCACCATGCATGGCTGCTGCAGAGCGATGATGCCTCATTCCATGGGAGGGCAGGGGTCCCTTTCCCATGTCTATGGGAACCTTGAGAAATAATCCATATTCATCTGAGTCGACGGGTGCGAAGGGTAATGAAGCTAGTTGAACCAACTAAGATCCATTTAGGTAGTTAGAATGTAGGGTCGCTTACAGATAAGTTAAGAGAATTAGTTGATACCGCGACTAGGAGGCGTGTAAATATATTATGCATTTAAGAGACTAAACGGAAAGGGTCGGAAGGCGAAGGAGGTGGACAATACAGGTTTCAAGCTTTGGTACACAGGGACAGTCGCGAATAGAAATGGAGTTGGAGTTTTGATTGATAAGAGCCTCAAGAATGGTGTGGTGGGAGTGAGAAGGCAAGGAGATAGGATTATCTTAGTCAAGCTTATCGTTGGTGATATGGCCTTGAACGTAATTAGTGTGTATGCCCCCAAGTAGGCCTTGGCGAGAGTGCTAAGAGACAGTTCTGGGAAGACTTAGATGGCCTGATTAGAGCTATACCTAGTTGTGAGAAGCTTTTTATAGGAGATCTTAATGGGCATGTAGGTACTACAAGCGCAGGTTTTGAGGCAGTTCATGGAGGTTTTGGGTATGGTAGTAGGAATCAGGAGGGGAAGGAAGTTCTAGACTTCGCAGTAGCTTTTGAAATAATGATAGCCAACACTTTCTTTAGAAAGAGAGAATCTCATCTAGTGACCTTCAGTAGCGGACAACACTCTAGCCAGATTGACTTTGTCCTCGCAAGAAGAAAGGACAAACGAGCATGCTTGGGTTGCAAGGTGATACCAGGGGAGTGTGTTGTTTCTCAACATAAGATTTTGGCAGTAGACTTTTGTTTCCAGGTGCGTGCCCGTAGGGATAAACAAGCTAAGATTGAAAGAATAAAGTGGTGGAAACTAAAAGGGGATACGTCAGAGGTATTCAGGGAAAGGGTTATCAAAGAGGGCTCTTGGAAGGAAGAAGAGGACATAAACAATATGTGGGAGAAGATGGCAACCAACATTCGAAAGGTGGCCTCAAAGGTGTGTGGAGTAAACAAAGGAGGTGGAGGTGAGGCTAAAGATACTTGGTGGTGGAACGAGGAAGTCCAAAGGGCTATTAAGGAGAAGAAAGAATGCTATAAACGCTTGTACCATGACAGGAGTGTGGACAACATAGAGAAGTACAAGGTGACAAAGAAAACTACAAAGCGAGCTGTAAGTATGGCAAAGGGTAGAGCGTACAGGGATCTTTACCAACATTTGAGTATGAAGGAAGGAGAAAAGGACATTTATAGGATGTTTAGGGTTCATGAGAGAAAGACAAGGGACTTTAACCAAGTTAAGTGCATTAAAGATGAAATGAAGCATCTCTTGGTGAAGGAGGATGAGATCCGATATCGATGGCAAGAGTATTTTGACAAATTATTCGATGATGAAAATACGGACACAACCTTTCAGTTGGATGACTCTTTTGATGACACCAATAGGCGCTTTGTGCGGAGAATCCAAGAATCTGAGGTCAGAGAGGAGTTGAAAAGGATGAAAGGAGGTAAGGCGATAGAACTGGATAGTATCCCAATCGAGGTGTGGAGATGCCTCGGGGACATAGCTATAATATGGCTAACCAAGCTGTTCAACCATATTTTTTGATCGAACAAGATGCCTGACGAGTGGAGAAGTATATTGGTACCGATCTACAAGAATAAAGGGGATATTCAAAGTTATACTAATTACTGGGGAATTAAGTTGATGGGCCATACTATGAAGCTATAGGAGAGAGTTATCGAGCATCGCTTGAGACCAATAACATGGGTCTCTATAAACCAATTTGGTTTCATGCCCAGAAGGTCAACCATGGAAACCATTTTCTTAATAAGACAGTTATGGAGCGGTATAGGAGAAGGACCTACACAAGGTTTTTATTGACTTGGAGAAGGCTTATGATAAAATACCAAGGAATGTTATGTGGTGGGCTTTGGACAAACATAAAGTCCCAACGAAGTACGTCAGGCTCATTAAGAACATGTACAACAATGTTGTGAGTAGTGTTCAAACAAGTAATGGAGACACGGATGACTTCCCGATTAGGATAGGACTACATCAAGGGTCAGCTTTGAGCCCTTATCTGTTTGCCTTAGTGATGGATGAGGTCACAAGGGACATACAAGGAGACATCCCTTGGTGTATGCTTTTCACAGACGATGTAGTGCTAGTTGATGAAAGCCAGACAAGAGTGAATCAGAAACTAGAGTTATGGCGGGAGACTTTGGAGTCCAAAGGTTTTAGACTCAGTAGAACTAAAACTAAGTATGTGAGATGTGACTTCGGCACTACTACTCGGGAGGAGGAAGATATTAGTTTGGAAGGTCAAGTAGTGCCTAGGAAGGATACCTTTCGATATTTATGATCAATGTTACAGAGAGACGAAGATATTGATGAAGATGTTAGCCATAGAATCAAAGTAGGGTGGATGAAGTGGCATCAAGCATCTGGTGTCCTATGTGACAAAAAGGTACCACAGAAGCTAAAAGGCAAGTTTTATAGGACGACGATTAGACCTGCTATGTTGTATGGTGCAGAATATTGGTCTACGAAAAGATGACATGTTCAACAAATAAGTGTCGCGGAAATGCGTATGTTGCATTGGATTTGCGTTCATAAAAGAAGGGATCGAGATCGGAACAATGATATACGTGATAGATTAGGGGTAGCACCAATTGAAGAAAAGCTTATTCAACACCGGTTGAGATGGTTTGGACATGTCCAACGGAGACCTCCAGAGGCACCGGTGCGTAGTGGAATCCTAAGCCAGGATAGTAAGGTGAAGAGAGGCAGAGGAAGACCGAAGTTGACTTGGATAGATGTAATAAAAGGAGACTTGAAAGGATGGAATATACCCAAAGACTTAGCCTTAGATAGGAGTGCTTGGAAAACAGCTATTCACGTGCCTGAACCTTGATTGCTTCTGCTGGGTTTCAACTCTAGCCTATCCCAACTTGTTTGGGACTTAAAGGCTTTGTTGTTGTTGTTGTTGTAAGGGTGCATCATGTCAACCCCGCCACTGCTACCGACAAAGGGACGGGAGACAATGGTGCCAAGCTCCCCTCTGTTGGTGGTGAGGCAAGCAACCCAATCCTGCTGCTGGGGTGGCACGTGTCCCACCGCCGGCACCAATGATGTTTGTATCTCATTGTGTAGGGTGCTAGTGGCTGGGCTGATGATGACCCTAGCTACAGTGGCAGAGGGGGCTCCGGTGCTGCTCCCTTTCCCTGCCAGATGCTAAGCTGATGAAGCTGTCGTATACGTTCTTTGACTTTCTTAGTCTTCTCTTCTACCATCTCGCCAAGGCTGGTGCGTTCCTTCTCAGTGGTGCCGATGAGGCCAAGGTGGCGTCCATCCATGCTCTCATAGAGAAGGAACGAGATCTCACGTTTGACAAACCTGTTTTGTGGTATGGTGAGGCTCCAGCTACTGGAGATATGGTGAGGCTCCAGCTGAAATAGTTCCCAAATACCCCACAATTGATCAGCATCTTGTAACTGCATAACTTCAGTTGCAGTAATGACAGGGCAAGAAGACAAATCAGGTTGCAGCCCAAACAATTGGATTTTCTGTTCCTGATGAATGAATGACAGCCATTTCTCTTTCCAGTCTAGTTCCATGGGACTGTGTTGCTGAAGCCAATCAATGCCCAATATCACATCATAAGACTGCAATGGCAAAATCTTCAGGTTGATTGTAAAACAATGACCTTGGACATACACAGGGCACTGTTGTAACTCATGAGTACACATTAAGATGGTACCATTAGCCACTCTAATCTGAACTAGCTGAGGAAGAGGAGACCAGTCAGGTAACATAGATGTAAGACTGTGACTGACAAAACTGCATGAACTTCTAGAATCAATGAGCAACACTACAGAACGCTGGTTAATTTTGCCTTCCATCAACACAGTTTGTACACAAGCAGTACCCTGAATAGCTGCTAGTGAGAGCTCCATCAAATCTTCTCCAGAATCAGTACTGAGTCTAGCTGTGTCAGGAGGAGATGAATCATCATCATCAGATAAAAGGTGCCATACAGTGTTGGAACACTTGTGAGCTAGATTCCATTTATCACCACACTTGAAACATAATCCTTTGGCCCTTCTATATTGCTTGATATTATGAAGCTTCTCTTCTACACCAGATTGTTTGGTGGCTTCAACTTGTTTTGTGGTACCAGTAGATGGAGTAGCAGTCAAGGTTCTTGGAGGGGAACATCTGGTGAAAGAGGGCTTGGTCGATGAACCCCCATCTTGGCGTTTGCTGTCCTTGGAAGGTACTTCGGACAGCACCTCTTCCTGTAACAAAGCAAGAGAACAAGCAGCATCCAAACTTACAGGACGGTGTACAAGAACTACAGAACGAATTGCATCCTGTAAACCATCAATGAATCTGCTAATGATAACATGAGGGCTGAAATTTGGATCATGGGCCAAGATTTGGTGGATGAGATGATCAAACTGTTCAATGTAAACAGATACAGTGGAAGTTTGTTTGAGTCTAAAGAATTGATGGTTCAGGTGGCTTTGTTGGTCTCGCTCAAAACGGCTACAGATGGTGGCACACAATTCAGGCCAGGTAGCACGTTGTAAGATGGTTTCAACAGATTAGGATCAAAACGCAGCAGATCCCACAAAATTCATGATGGCAATTTTGACCCACATATTAGCATGAATAGCATAGACATCAAAATAGGATTCACACTGCTTTTAACAGAGTTTGGGATTTTTGCCATCGAATTTAGGGAAATCAAACTGAGGAATAGCCTTTGTCAGATCGAACGGCATCTGAGACTCTAATGTAACAACAAAAGGGTGAGCAATAGTGTTCGCACCTTTGATTGGGGTAGGCACTAAGGTGGTAACCACCCCGTGGCCAATTCCCCGGTTACTGGTTTCAACGCCGGCGCCAATAGGCAGTGAGATTGCTAAAGAAGTCGCAGCATGATGAGGAGCCGCAGACTTCGTCAGATCGATTTCTTCCGTGCCGAAGACGCGCGTCGCCCCGTCAGATGCTTGAGGACGCGAAGGGAGTGAATCCACCTTCTGTTGGAGGTCGATGACGGATTGATGCAGCTCGTCCACCTTGACATCGATCTTCGGCCGCCACATGCCCACATCATGGAGCGTCGCGAGATTGTCATCGAGAGTGCGTTGGATCGAAGAGTTCTAAGCTTGCAACGCCTTCATCATTTGGGTCAGTTCGTTGAGCTGAGTCTCCATAGTGCCGATGCACTTCTGATCTCTGGTCAGGTACTGGGGGCAAAATAGATAGTCCGGTACCGCCGCCAGGGTGGATCTGGGGGCAGAGAACACTCGAGTAGAGGCAAATTCGAAGGAAGGAACGAACTCATCTAGAAATGATTACCGACCAACTCGACCTCGGCACGGACCTCTGGATCTTCGCGATCAACACCACAAGGGTGAATCACAAAAGAGAGCCTGCCGTCGGGGATTATGAGTCCAGATCAAGGCAACCGAACCGAGAACGAGGATGCACCTGAGAACGACGACGAGATGGCTGCCGCCGCGCCCGCAGATCGAGTGACCCCCGATACCAAATGATACTATCTCACTTCACCATGTCTACAATTAACATTCAATAGAGTGGAGTATAGTGGAATATGTGATTACAACGAGCAATGCTCGTCGCCGTCGCCTCCAGCACAGCCGGCCAATTTTATCTCCAACTCCGTTCTACCCTTCCCCTTTCTCTCTCAGCCTAGTTAACATTGCTCGTGGTGGGCTTCCGCATGACTCTCTTCTCCTGGGCCAGCCATTCTGGGCCCTGATAGCATAGATTGGGCTTTGGTTATCTTCTGGGTCGGTCCATCTCATTTCTGTCTTCACCGCCCGTGTTCCCGCCAGCCTCCTCTTTAGGCACCTTCGGCCTCAGGGTTGTGACAGGTTGCTAAGAAGTTCCTGCTGATTCTGCGTTTTCTTGAATCTTTTGCCACAATCTGGCATTTCGATGAATTTTTGGAACATAGCTTTGGCCTCTGAGTCATTAGGCCAAGCCAATGGCTTATCTTGATTCTCACCGTACAACACCACACCCACCTTGGTGCCGCAGAGCGTGGCTAGCTCATCGACCTTCTTCTTAATGCCATTGCGGCGCCTCTTAAAGGTCGCACGACGGCTGGAGGCTTTGGTGATCCACTGGAGATTCACCTTCTTGCGAGCCATGATCCTAGCGTTCTAGGGTATCAAGCAAGAAAGCTAGCCTACAAATTTGGGACCCCTAACCCTTATTCAAACATTATATAGATCTTTAAACTCTCATCCTTGTAGTTGACAGAGTTAAAAGTCAGCCTAGCGTCTACCACAACATTTATCCAAAACAAAAAAACAGGAAGGAAAAATTGTTGCTTTGGTTATGAGAGGTTAGATGATAGAGGGGGAAGGCTTGTGTTTATATAGATCCTGAGGCTCTAGCCTAGATGAAATATAAGTGAATAGTTATTATTATAAACATGATATTATGGCAAACATTTACTTCTGGCCAAATTAGATCCATCATGAGGACCGCATGATCTTAGTCAAATGCTCATTACTACTTTCTGCCAAGGCCACCAGCATAGAACCTTCGTCTTGAGCAGGTAGGTTATGCAAAAGTCATGTGAGACATTGCCTAGATGAAATATATTGGTGAATAGTTATTATTATAAACATGATATTATGGCAAGCATTTACTTCTAGCCTAATTAGATCCATCATGAGGACTGCCCAGAACCTTCCTCTTGAGCAGGTAGGTTACGCAAAAGTCATGTGAGACATTGCATTTAGTAACTGCCATCAAACCATTCAGCGGCTACAAATTGCACTCCATAAATGCATGCTAAAGAATCACTTGGAAAAGCTAGATCTGAGTTTAAATTGTGAGATTGCGCAGGAAAATGCCTCACTATATACGCACAAGATATGACTGTTGTACTTAACATATATATGTTTTTTTTAGGTAATGGATGTAACCTTCGGCCATTGTGCTGTGATGTTGGTCTTGCACTGATGACTCCACAAGTCACTAGAAAAGGGTGGTCTGATCCAATATGACATCCACATGGCCTACTATGTCATGTGCTTTGCCTAGTTTGGTGCATATGTGTTTCAAAACTCCAATACAGCACGTGTGATATGCGAACAAAATCAACAGAATGCATTTAATTTTGACACAACAAAAATGCAAAAGGTTGCTAATAACAGTCATTACCATCAACATCCCTCGTGTTTCCTTTTTCAACACCTAACCTTTATCCTCCTCCCCTTATTAGAGAATGAGCAACCAAGAGTGGAAGAGGGGAGAGAAGTGTAACACCCTAAAACTTCTATTTTTGGTTGTGAGTAGAAAACACTAAATAAAATAAATGATTTGAGGAATTTCCTGAAATTTTCCAAGATCTATTTAGCTCATTGTCAACCTAAAGAGTGAAAATGTGGTTTACAAAATTTACAAAGTTAATGAAAGTGTGTTTGCTGCATTCATGCCCTTGCATGAGTTTTGATGTGTAAAAAATAAATTTAGAAAATTTGAATAGGTTTTGTTCTTGTTTTAAAAATAAGCTTCAAAAAAGCTAGATTTTAAAACCTGTTAAGAAAAAGGAAAAGTTTTTCCTTATCCTTTTTCTGTTGGCTTTTAGCCTGCTGCCATTTTTAGCCCAGCTCTCCCGCCTCTCTCAATCCCGGCCCAACCCAGCGACCGCAGCCCAGATGCCGCGTCCTGGCCTGCTCCAGCTCGCGTGCTTCTCCTCACACGGGGCTCGACCCAGCAGCAGCTGACGCAGCCCGCAGTCCGCAGCCGTGGAAGACTGGAAGCCGCCGGCTGCGCCATGTGCAGATGTGCTGAAGCGCTCAAGCTTCACGCCAACATCAATCAACTGGCGTGGCGGCCTCCCAACTCCCAACAACCAAGAAACGAGTTACAGACACATGGCAGGGCCTCGTCATCGTCGTTGAGGTCCATCCAAATTCATCAAGCGCAATATATGCATCACACTAATATCACAAGTTCGAGACAAATTTTTCGCAGACCACTGAATCAAATACAGAACAGCACAAGTTACTGTATGATACTAAATAAATTGGTAACAAGATCCACGACCAACAACCAGAGCGATGGATGGACACGAACGAACGAAGCGACAAATCCAGGCTCAATCGGTAGTAGTAGCTTCACAGCTGAGATTCAATCTCCAAAAGACACTTGTACGTAGAATTTTACATCCTTCGGCGCGGTTCCTGCATCCAGAAACATTGAGCAGCAGGGCAAGCGATTATTACGCTGGCAGCTCAGTAATTCATTTCCATTACTCCGCTTGTTGATCAAGTGCTCAATCGACTTCGACTGTTGCCGAGAAGAGAAGAAAGAACCTGCAGACGGGATGTTGATCAGCTCTCACCTTGTCCGATACCCAACTGGTACCATGCTAGTCCTTGGTGATGGCGTAGATCGCGTAGATGATCCCCGGAAGATAGGCGAGGAAGGTGAGCAAGAGGCAGATCCAGAACTCGACCTGCCATGCATCGATCGAATTCTTTTAGCAAGCAAGCCAACTCGAACTCAACCGCCAGCCAACCAATCAGATCGCTGGCACGTACTAACATAGTAGTAACTGATTTTGTTGAGGTGCAAGATCCTAGCTAGATGCAGAATCAATTAGAAGCAGTACCTTGCAGCCGAACTTGAGGAAGACGCCGAGTGGGGGGAGGATGATGGCGATGAGGATGTCGACGCAGTTCGCCGTGCCCTCCTTCATCTTGCTCGCTCGATCTCTGGAGCCCTCGAGGCTGGATGTCTCTCCTCTTTCTTCCCGCTGGTTGATTGATGCGTCCAAAGTACTGTAGTACTAAATAGATGTGAGCCTGTGACCAATTGAGCAGCCGTGAGACTATCTCCGACGATGACCTAAAATTAAAGAGTCATTCGTCATTTTAGTAGCGCTATTGATAAAAGGTTTAATATCTATTTGATATCTTCTCCAATAATAAAACTCAAAAGAGAATTATTTCTGTAAATAGATTTCTAGAAAAGAGAATACCCATATTTGGGTTATGCCTCTCAAACAATCTAAAATAGGTTTTCCGTATAGATACTTTGTTGAAAACTGATTTTAAGTCTCTTGCTATTCATTTTAGGGTCGGATGTTGTTATGGGTTCATCCTCAGTGCCGGAGCTCCATCGGGGGTGGTGGGATTTAGTGCCTGTTTAGTTTCTAAAATTTTGCAAAATTTTTCAAGATTTCCCATCACATCAAATCTTTGAACGCATACAGGAAGCATTAAATATAAATAAAAAATAAAACTAATTACACAGTTTAGACGAAATTCACGAGACGAATCTTTTAAGCCTAATTAGACTATGATTGGACACTAATTGTCAAATAATAACGAAAGTGCTACAGTATCATTTCAAAAAAATTCGCTAACTAAACAAGATGTTATTATTATACCTGTGCGGAAACAGCTCAGACAAGGACTCTAGTGGAAAACGTAACGACGGATGATGCAATGCGACGCGACCGTTAAGTATTAATCTTTTCTTCTCTTTTCTTTTGCTGTCCAAAAATATTCATCGTTCTTCCTCTTATATTTTTTCTGAAATTAATAAAGTTCAAACACATGCATATCAAACTCATTATCATTTGACACTTTGTCCATATCTGGAGGAATAATTAGCCAAAAACAACTATCCATGCGACACCTTTATGTTACGCCTCCTAAATTTTAGTCACTGAATCAAACACCCCCTTAGCGTTAGAGTGCATTTAATGCTAAAAAAAGTTACTGTATGTTGTACGTCTGGTTTATTTTCTCTTGAATTAGTGATTTTTGCTGAAAATATTTTTACTATACACGCCTATATAGATAGGATCAACGACAAGGAGGAACGGTGGTGGCCAGGACCTAAGACCAAAGGCTGAAAGTGTGCATCGCATGCGGGTTCGGTAGTTTTCTGTCGCTGTTTTTTTTTAGGGACAGAACGTTTTGTCCCTTTTATTATTTGCGGCAGCACTAGCGCCACGAACCCCCCCGCATCCAGACATCTGTGCCGGCGCCTGCTTCCATAAGCGGGGCCCGCCCATGCCCCTCCCCCACACTTCTCTGCTTCCCGCGCCCTCCACGCCTGCTACGCCGCTCCGCTCCATGCACAGCGCCCTAGCAACTACGGTAGGTACTTTGCAACATGCACGACCCCCAAATCTAATTTTGAAACATCCAAATGAAACAATTGCAACATATGTACGAAACAGTTAAAACATTCGAAACATGTGTCTAAAACACATGAAAAACACTTGAAAAATAAATTACAAACATATGCAACATCCAGATAAAACAAATACAACATATGTGTCGGTGTTTTGTCAACTGACTAGGAAATTTGTATCATTGTCGCGCTGCTCCAGGAATACAATGGTAGCATCCAAAAGACACAATAAATTATAATGGTTCAGGCCGGAGCCCTACGTCCAGTCTCAAAGAAAATCGAGTGTGTGTTCCTCGATTGAATGATCTAGAGTTCTTACAATGGGGTATGCAAAAAGAGTGGAAAGAGGTAGGAGAGTGGAGAGGGACTGCCCGAATGAAGGATTCGAGAGTCTGATGCTATGGAAGGGTGCCCTGGCTGTCCTTATATAGAGTCCGAGGCCAGGTCACATATAAAGAGATAGGTTCTCCCGACTGAGAGGGCGTAAGCCTAGGGGAGAGAAACTAGCTAACTTGGCCGGCAAGGAAGGTCGTCTTGTCATGGTGTAGCGCACGTCCGAGCGTGATTGTCGTCATGGTCTTGTGCCCACGTCGCGGTATGGAGCGACGTGGTTGTTGACGATAGTTAATGACAATCATAAACCGTCAATATAGCCTGCATAAATAATTAAAATGGATCACAAATATAGATACAATGTTTAAAACTAACGAGTTCCATAAGTTTTGGTGATTTTGTGTCTGCAGGAGGATTTAATCAGAAAACCGTCAAGGAGGACATATTCGTCAAAGCAAATTACGTTATTCCGCGATGAAACCGACATGAAAAGGCTCTAGAACCATCCAGAAGACAACTCACCGAGAGCCACGCCAAGGTGTTAGGGTGTGGGGCCAACCGGCCCCACCTGTAGGTCGGCCGACCTATGGAGCCCATTTGGCAACCCCTCCTCGCTATGTCGGTTCTCCACCGTCTTAAAGATCAAATCTAC